GTAAATGTTTGAATAAAAGAAATCGCTCTACCACAACATACAGCTGTATGCTATGACATCGCCTTTTTATGTATTCCAAGGGATTTCTGATTTCTACATCGATCAGTGTTACAAATTCATAGCAGTCAAGTCTGGGATATGAAATGTCATCACAGTCATTCCGAAGTCGAGCACGTTGTCTCAGCAGATTGATTAAGACCAGGTCCCTAGGTAAGTATTCAAAAAGGAAATAAAGTGACAGCATTTGAAATGGCGATGATGACAATAAGGCCATAGCAAGTAATTTTGACGGATGTTATCAGCGCACGCATCAATTTTCGCCTGATTTCGGGGAAAAAAGAACTTTTTTGCCCTTAGATGGTGGTCAACATGCCGAAAATTGGTAAATATGTCATAAATGTCTTTCGGTTCAGAGACGTCTAGACAATCAGGGCTTCAGTAACTTGAGGCACAATTGCTCGCATTCAATGAGGTGTTCCGTCACATATAAATACCTAGTGTGGTACATGTAGCTGCCCATGGTGGTATTGCAACCTATTTTCTTCAATAATTATTTTTCAAAATTTTATAGTTAATCGAGATATACACATCTGCGAAGACAGTTAATACTACTGAATACAGGAATAAAAGACTTGTTGGTTGTGATATCATGTTTTGTTGCCCCAATTCTTGTTAACAAGGTTTATGATCTCAAGATTTAGGAATCTTGCTTTTTGGCCGCCTTTTTTCATCTTCTCGCACTACATTTGAAATCTACAGAGGATGCCACCCATAAAATTTACTTGCATGTTGTAGATGATTCACAGCCATCCTTGTATTTTAGGACAAATTTGAATGTACGTCCTTGCAGTGAGAAACGAATTTCTGTGTGTGGTTCACTTTTTATTTCAACTAAACATCACCTTACATAGCAATAAACAGACGAAAACACTCATCATTTTCCACAACTCAATCTTTGACACAAACACAGCTGCGCGCAAATTCCTAGATTAGATCGGATGCACTAAGTCTGATAATTGTCAGACTGGTGGTACTGAGATGTTAGGAAGTCAATAGTTTTGTAGGTCAGAGGACTTTTGTTCAAGAAAGGTACAACGTCCTTTTTTTAAACTGATGCAAGAGGACCGATATCTTGTTTTTCCTACCAAATTGTTTGTACTGATAAGGAACAAAGTAATGTCTATCAAATGGATTAGTTGTGTACATTTGGAATGTATTTTTGTCTATTGGCAATGACTGTAATGACAAAGTCCAGTCCCGTTAAGCGCGTGGCACCGCCCTCACATGGCATAGGACATCATCATCATCATCACCCTTGGGGGCTGCGCTCTCCAAGGAGATCTCCTGCTAGTATTGGTCATGTGAGTTTCAGGGGTTGAGAAGACTGCCTCATTGTCAGAGGATAACATACAGGGCTACAAAGTGACGAAGTAAAGAATTGACGCAGACTGATACCATAAATTTTTACATGGTAAACACGACCCATCTATCCTCTTATTATAGCCTCTCTCTGGTAAAATCTATCAAGGAAGAAAAGTCCATGTTACCGTCTACTGTCCAGAAGATTAGATTAGACCGAGAAAAGAATATTGTGGGCTGGGCAGAACTCCCTAAACTGCCACCCTAGCGCCTCAACAGAGTTCAAAACCGCGTACATAATCTTGTTGGGAGTGACTTGTTCGCCACATACAACCACTCTCACATAGGCGTAATGTTGCAAGCCTGGTGTTATTTTATAGCTATTTCTATGGTAAATGCTCCGCGAAACTTCACTCGCCAATGTCCCCGCTTCGAACATTCTCCGAAGGACACGTCTTGCCACTTCCACTGAAGCAAATCACCCTTTCTTCCTCCATACACCACCTCTTAGGAGAAAGTTCCACGCTGAAATCTTCTTTCCTAGATCAACATCACTATGGAACAAGAACAAGCTACCACGTGATTGTTTCCCATATTGGTACAGTCTTAAACTTTTCAAGTCTAAGGTCAACAAATATCTGTCCTCACTGTCTGTACTGTAACCCAAAACATTTGAGTGACTTCCATGAGCTCGAGCCTTGTTTTGTGGTGAATCATGAAGTAAATAAAGAACGTAACTTAATCTACGAATCCACGAGTCAAATTTGTATAGGCGACTGTTTCCCAATCTTCCAAACAATGACTCGTAAAAGAAATAGACTTTATTGGGAGTCGCAGTGTGGCACACTGAATCAAAACCAATTCACATTTCAGACGAAATCGATGATTTCATACCTCCGGGTTTTATTGTAGTAAAATATATCAAGGTCATACGGTTCACAGGTAGATGATCGTTTAGGCTACTTCGGGCGTGCATATATGGCAAATTATGTTGTGCGCAAGTGGGAGGTGTCAGACATAAAAACTTTCATCTAAGTGAGTGGGGGTCTATTTCTCTTTGTGTAGTACCATATGCATGATCACTATATCTAATACGTTTGTTCACTACACCGACTGACGGCCACACAGTATCATACAAGAAAGAACCGCTACTATGGTTGACTTTTCTCTGCTTCGAATTTACTGCTAGAGATGTATCGCAACCCCCAGGTATTCAACCGGCGCGTCATCCCAGCAAGCCTGTACATCTGTGTTATCTACAATCACAACACCCGAAGTTATGAACTTTTATTTAACCTGTTAAGACGCACGTTGGAACTCAGAATGCCAACAAACATCGATAAATTTTGTATTTTGCAACCGTTTAAAATAATGTTAAATACATGTAATTGACCACTGCTGTCACCTGCGCCCGGTTGTATCTGCATCGCATTCCAGAAAGGTCCTCTGTGCTTTCACATCTTTTGTACACAACCAACTGGGCGCAAGTTCACACTTCCTAATGCGGATGGTTGGACGTCAATAGTTTTGTAGGTCAGAGGACTTTTGTTCAAGAAAGGTACAACGTCCTTTTTTTAAACTGATGCAAGAGGACCGATATCTTGTTTTTCCTACCAAATTGTTTGTACTGATAAGGAACAAAGTAATGTCTATCAAATGGACTGTTTGTTCTGATTAGTTGTGTACATTTGGAATGTATTTTTGTCTATTGGCAATGACTGTAATGACAAAGTCCAGTCCCGTTAAGCGCGTGGCACCGCCCTCACATGGCATAGGACATCATCATCATCACCACCATCCTTCAACGTTATTCTTTATTCATGACACCAAAAAGCAAACCTAACAGTAGGGATGAGTATCCCTGAATTAAAAGAGTTTGCGTACAAAAAGTACAATAGACAAGACAAGCAATATATAATATCATTTTGTAGCGAGCAAATAACCTATACAGGTGAGATTTAGGAAAGATAAAGCTAGTGATATGACAGTTCTTTGTTGTACAGGGTTATGGCCCTATGTAGAGCAAATAAGAATTCGAATTTACTGTTGTAGCCGTTTCGTCCTTGCCCTGGCTGTTCTTCAGCTTCCTGTCGATAGCATCTGCTCTCGGGGGGGGGGGGGCGACCAGGTCGTGGAGTCGGGGTGTTCGGAGTTTAACATCTACCTCAACAGGGACACGGCTGCAGTCTCCTCCTTTCATAAATTTAGAGAGGGCAGAACTGGTACGTCGCATGCTTTTTGCCTGCGCTTCGTTGCAACCGACGAGTAAGACATGGCTATATTCCAGTACGGGGCGGATGAGTGATCTTGAGTAAACTTGAATCAGGTCGTCTACACTCATTCCCTGCTTAGTTAACAATCGCAGGAAGTGAAGCATACTTGACTACTAGCTTCACTCCTCGGGGGCTGCGCTCTCTCCAGTATTGGCCATGTGGGCATGGGGGGGGGGGGTAGTAAGGCTGTCTCACTGTCAGAGGAAATCAATATTACTAAACGATCCTAAACAGTATGCTTTGTCTAATATCAAAGTTTGTTGTTTCCTACAGAAGAAGCAAGACTTCAACAAACGTAACTGGCGTAGGGCTCGCTGCAACAGAGTATGCTACTGAGGATGACGGAATTGAACACATTTTCTTGGGCTTCTCACTCTGCACTAAGCACAATCTGACCACACTGATTCTAAGTGTACCAGATTAGATCCACCAATTTCAACAACACGTCAAAACGAATCATAATGTCTAGGTCAGACGACCGTTTATAGTACAACGTTCGAGGCCTCCATTATCAATGATGATGAAAGCTATTTTATTCAAACTAAGATAACCTGCACCTCCCGCAAAGAGATAGTGACTATATCTAATCAAATGTTTGCTCGGCTAAATAGGCAGGGGGTATTTCATTTCATTCACAGTTGACTCTCGCAAAGCAACATCATCGTCACATGATGTGGGACAGGTACAGTCTATGTCATGTTGAATATACATCTGGGCAGATCAAGGCAGTGACTTTCAGTGAAGAAATGTTTACAATCACCCAATAACTCGATTTGCACAATGAAAAGCAATACACACTGGATAGATCTAGTATACAGGGCTACAAAGTTAATGAATTTCCGCAGAATGATACCATCAATCTTTATGATAAATACAACTCACCTATCCTCTTATCATACCACCTCTCTGGTATACTAGTAATCTGTCAAGGGAGAAAAGTCCAAGTTACCGTGTACGCATTTCTTTCAATGTCATGAATTTGTATTGATATGTAATTACCAAGGAGGTAAAATACAGAGTACCTCCATGTAACGTTGGAGGTATTGTTTGGGGTGTGTTTGCCCAGTATGATGCACGTCCTTGAAAGGATGCTATGGTCTAGGCTGCTTGTAAAAGAGACAGGATTATCAATGAATACCCAAACTGTTTACTTCTATTAGTTTCCATCGCTAGTGTGTAGCTCTTATATACTTTGATAAGATTAACAACCTTCCTATGAGTTGATAGAAAAGATAGCACACCTGTCTAGACACCTTTTATTAAGAAAAGTTGATACATCGAGCTCGGATGACGTAGTATTGACAGTTACAAACTCAGGACTACAATTTTGCTTTTAAGACTTAAATAATGTATTAACTGACTTGTAGCATGGCGGCAAATGACGAGTTGACGGAAGATATGATTGACAACTTAAAAGACTTTGGGATGGCCTATCCCTTACTGGTAAAGTACAACATCCCCATGGATGATGTGAAGGATCTCTTCACAGCGAAGCTGGTACTGAAGCGCCATCTACAGTTGACTGAGAACACCGTGACATCGGCCAAAAATGTAAGTAACTGACATATCCCTGACAGATTCATCTTATTACATTTACAATTACAATATGGCCTCTGCTGTATTTATGATGCATGTTATATTGTATTTTGATGCAATCTGATGACAATGTCCTCAACAACATTATGTTATCCATGAGTTTGATTATTGGGGTAATGGCAGAAAATTCAGCTCCCTTGGTATTGAGGGTTTGTATAGACCTGAACTTACGATAACGTTATATTTTAGGATAATGCGTGACCTTTAACGTGAAATCCAACAAAAATTCTTTACCTTTGAAAGGCAAGAGAAATTGTCGTGAGGTTGAAAGAAGAGTACGACAATAACAAAAAGAAACTCCAAAAGTTCTACCAAGATACAAAGAATCACCTGCCAGATGTAGATCAATCCATTCTGAGTCAACTAGAACGAGACAACGTAACTTCACAATTTCGACAAATGATTGATGACGCCATGGAGATGCTTCAAGATGAAAAGTGTCCTATTCTAGTGGCAGGTATTGTTACCTCTTGGCACTTTCACGGTATCTTCTATTTCTTCACTAGTCACATATATATGGGTATGACGTAAATAAAATACAACACGGGGTACTCCGTATCACCCGAGTTACCAGCCCGACCGTGGGTCGGATCGCCCGACGGCCGGAGGGAGAGCCAATCCGCAGGAGGCTAGGGCTGGGACCGAGGGTGATGCGGATTTTTTTTTATATACAACACGGTGTATTCCGCATCTCCCTCGACCCCCCCGCCTTCGGCCGTCGCCCGACCGACTAGCGGATGGGCTGGTACCTCGGGCGATACGGAATACCTCGTGTTCTATTCTACATAAGCATTATATATATAGGACGTAGAATGGGTGCTGTTGTAAAACAATTATTGTCTTTTGTGTGAGATATTCACAATAACCTCTTAATTATGTATCCTCTTTGTCAGCGTACCATAAATTGACCAATCAAGGTGCAACTGCCACAGTCAATGTCTAGCACTTATTTCATTGGTGGCTACAGGTCACTCTAAAATGTTAAAATCTTATTGGCAATAATACTTGTAATTCTCTTCTAATCCGCTTGGTGATGTTCTTGACACATTGCGAAGAATCGTTCGACGATAATCGATTGCCTGGACATAGAAGAACTTTATTGCACGACAATATAATACTGTTCTTTTGCATACCCAGCCTTTGACCCAGTGACTAACCATAATCACAACGCTCAGATTGCTCACAAGTCCGCCTTTTGTGAAAACAATTCTCATGCAAGTTTGATAGCTTTCTGTAAATGCAAATGATTTCAGGTGAAACATCCTCAGGAAAAAGCAGTCTGCTGAACCTCATCTTAGGGGAGGAGCTTCTCCCAACAGCCACACTCAGCACAACGTCAGTCATCTGTGAGATCCGTTATGGGCAAGAGCGGAAAGTAAAGGTCTTTACATGGGAAGGGGAGGTGATAGAAGTCCCCCTTACTGAAGCAGATGATGACAAATCCTCCCTTCAAAAGCTCTCAGAGTACGTGCATCAAAAAGGAAAAAGGGACGAGGAAGACTTTCCATACAAAAAAGCAGAAATATACCTGCCTCTCAATTTTTTGAAGGTACAACACTTGAAGACCTCAAAGTTTTGACACCAACTTGACTAAATGTTTTATCCGTTTACTCTTCACAGTATGGAATATGTGCAATATATATATATATATATATATATATATATATATATATATATATATATATAGAGAGAGAGAGAGAGAGAGAGAGAGAGAGAGAGAGAGAGAGAGAGAGAGAGAGAGAAGAGAGAGAGAGAAAGAGAGTCAAAATGATACCATTTTTATTTGCTTGATCGACCATTGGTCACTTTATTTTCATTTTGTAGTGTCATAACATGATAGTGATCTCAGGCCACCTCATAATTACGGTGCCATTGTTTGGGCAACTGTCCCTTAGTCAATGTATTGTAAACTAATTATTCGGGCTGCAAATCAACAGGATGGCATCACTATTGTGGACAGTCCAGGAGTTGGGGAAAGCGAGAGGATGGATGAGGTGGTATATGACTACTTACAAGAAGCCTTTGCCTTCATTTACGTCATCAACAGTTCAAATGCTGGGGGAATTCAGACAGACAGGGTAAGATTATATGATCTACGTATATAGGCCACAGTAAGTAAAATTTATGGATGACATCCTCCACAGACTCAAGTCATGCAATAGGGTGAAAAAAAACAAGATTCCTTCATTTTCAAATCTTGAAATCATAAATCTTAAAACAAGAATTGAGGTGACAAAGCATGATGTCATCATGTCTTTTATTCCTGTATTCAATTGTATTAACTGTCCTTATAGATGTGTATACATCTCGTTCCTTAATGTGTAACAGGGACTTTAACGATCTGCATTCTATCTTGGTTAGCTTTTCACTAACATAACAGGCACGTTTTGTTGCATTATGTCTGAAACTACACACTTTTCAAATTTCAGCTCGGAAGGCTGATGGCCGTAGTTAACTCTAAAGGTCAAGAACAGTTTGATGCAAAACACCAGAAAGGTGCTGCTGCTCGTGCATTCTCCCCTCAGGCTGCCATTTTTGTCTGCAACAAGTGGGACCAAGTGCCCCAACAAGAAAAGGAAGCAGTTCAAAAAGAGCAGCTACGTGTCCTGAAACGTTACTGGCCAGGTTGCACAGAGGATCAGGTCTTCCAGTTGAGCACTTTGACTGCTGCAAAGGCCCTACATCATGACATAATGATGGATGACTTTCGTCTACTGCTTGAGGGCATTGAGCAGCTCATTCCTGCAACACTCCAGAACAAGTTGCAAGTGCACTACTGGTTGGTTTCTGTTGTCTATCCGTTTCTTCTTTCTGATTGAATGTGGTGAAAGAATGATGCAGACTAAAACTGGTTTAGTGATTAAGTTTTCTCCTTATTACCATTTCTTACTGTCACTTTCAAAGCAGTTGGGTGAATTATCATAATTTTTTAGTCCATTTCATATCATGCACATTATATCAAGTGAAGCAGTTTGGGCCTGCAATTATCTTTAACCTTTTCCTTGCACAAGTTGCATGTTTGGAACACTACAAATTGTGGGTGGAAACATTTAAATGCCTAATCACTGAGTGAATATTTCCTGCATGACTCTTTTATACCGTTTTAAATGTATAAAAATGTATAAATTAAAATGATTTGTGCTTTTGTTATACAGTTGGCTTGAACAGTTCTTGAGCAGGATCCTCTACAAGGCAAGGGCTCTAGAAGCAAATGTAGCCAGTGGAAAAATCAAGGAAAGGCAATTGCTTGAGAGAGAAAAGAGGCTAAAGTATGCAAAGTCAACAGGATCAACAATCATCCAGGACATGAAAAAGAAAGTAGAAGAAAAAATAAAACAGGGAACAAAGGAGCTTGGAAAGCTGCTTGGGGATCCAAAGACCAAAGAAAAGGTTACTTCCTGGTCATTGGCTGATGTTCCTTTGGGAGCTAACTACTACCAGCTGGACAGAATGGTGCAACATGAGGTGCTTGTCCGCCTGGAACATCTCATCATGGACTGGGAAGAGGAAACTGGCTTTTTCAAAGCCACAAAGTCGGAGTTGGAGGACATGTTTCATCAAGCTCTTGTGAAGTTAGAAAACGCCATAGACAGTGCTGAGACCAATGTGGCTGATGACAAAACAGAAGATGAAGTGTCAAATGATAACAGTGCAATGCATGATGTGAGAGCAAGAGATGTTCGTCTCTTCATCGCACAGAAGGCAACAGGGGTAATGTCCTCACTTTGGGTTCCCCTGGTATTCCTCAAAGTTCTCCTTCAGGGACCTGCCCTAAGGTTTGTAGAGATCATCAGTATGAGGGAAAACTTCAAGATAGCTGGCAAGACCACAGACCAAAAAGATCCAAAACATCAGTTGGCATACCTGCAGAGGACAAGTGAGAAAGTCCTTGAGAGATTCAAAGACAACAGCCAGCTGAGGAAGTATGTTACAACACAGATGAAGCAAGCACAGCACGTCATAGAGAGCTGTGAAAGGACAGTCAATGAAATCATTGAATCCAACAGACAGATGGTTCTCCAACTACGACAAGATGACAGGACAAGTGATGAAGTGAAGAGGGCCCTTGGTCAGTTCAAAGCGGCGATCAGTCATATCCACGAAGACCTATGCATGTTTGGCGCGGAACATATGAGACCATTCGACTATGATGCTGCACAGATCTCAATAGATGAGCATCCCCCAATTGTCAGTTCATACTTCAGCAACATCTACAAGGGCAAATTGAACACAAAAAAGGTCAATGCCAAGGTAACAGTAAAGAGCTATGTGGGAACATCAGAATGGAGCGTACGTTATATGATCTCAGAGGAGAAGTGCCTTAGGTAAGTTATATATAAGTCAATGAATATTTGTGGGGCCAATCTTATTCTATTTTCCTCATGCTACACACTGAGCTTCATTTCTAAATTCCTACATGTACATCATATTTCTACACTAATAACATCCATGTCCTCCAATCCTTCTTATCCACAGGGGACTACAGAAGTCACACATCATTTCATTCATGGGTACTTCAAGAGCCAAACATAATGGTATCCCCATGCTTATCCTAGAAGACATGCGTCAACCAATCAGGAAGAGATTTACCAGCTGCAAAGCCCACCTCCCCAACCCAGTGGTACAGAGGTACCTGATAGATATAGCTGAGGGTCTCAAGTACCTACACAAGAGGGGAATGGTCCATCTCATCCTGTCTCTAGACACAGTCGTGGTAGGTGTAAGAAAAAAATTATCAATTTTGTAATTCCAAAACTTGGGTAGGGCTATTTGTATCACTGAGTATTTTAGAACCTGTGAGATTGTTGATAATCATCCTTTGAAAAGCATAACTAGGAGTTTGTACATGTTTGTATGATGCATGTATGAAACTAGTGTTAGCATTCTAAGAGGCATTTTTAAAATCATGTTTGTAATGTATTATGATAATCCAACAGAATTACCATGCAGTTTGAGTGTTCATCATGGGTGTCCCATGGCATATTACCTTTAAGTTAATCTTGACTGTTAAAAAATAAATGACACAGTTTGATGACAAAAATACAAAAGGTCCCTTGTCTTTTGTGATTCACAGGAAGCAGCTGATAGGAAAATCAAGCTGACAAGTGCCTGCACACCAAGGTGTTTGAAGGAACCAGAGGACACTGATGACCTGCCAAAGGAGTACATGTACCTGTCCCCCAAGGTGCTACAAGGTGCAGTGTATGACCAAGCAGCAGACATGTACAGCTTAGGCTTGATGATGTGGGAAATGTGGAATCATAAGTCTATCAGTCTTCCATCTACTTATACTAGCATAACATTAGATCTGCTCAAAACAGGTGTGGTAAAACAAAACCTTCCTTCTCCAAGTATGCCTGCTCCAGCAGAAAATTGGGGGCACTTGATGCATTCCTGCCTAGACTCTTCCATTAAGATTGAATCTTACACATACTGGCTTCGTGCACCAAAGAAACAGGGGCCTTTGGAGACTGAAGTTTAATCCGTACAACCAATATGAAATTTAACTGGAAGTTATTAGACTGAATTTCTTCTATGGCATATGACAGAGGTACAGCTCTGTACTCTATTATGATGCACTAAAAATGAAACTTAAGTTTACACATAGCCCATTATTAAGCACCTTTATTATCTGCACTCTTACACAATGAATAGAAGCAACTGCTCGGGCCAGGGCCGCGTCTTCTCCGCATCCTGGGCATTTCTTGATTCTTTTTGGCATGTCGGGTGTGCACTGCGACCGATTTTTTGACGAAGTAAGGCGCTAAGTCGAGTTGCTGAACACTATTACGAAACTGAGTCTGGGAACTGAGTGTGAAACTCTCTGTGAAACTCTCTGTGGAGCACACCACACAGCACACCTCGACAATGCTACTAGAGATGTTATATGACGTCACGTGATGATGACGCGCAGGTCAAAGTTCAAAGACAGCTAATAAACTGATTTGAGCTGTCGCCCAAATAATCCCATATGCCAGGAATATTTTGTAGTTACAATGTATTACAATTGTGCTCAAGGAATGATAATGTACAGCTGAATGACTCTTTTGGAGTTATGATTCAAACATCTAGTTTTCCAGTTTTAAAATATTGACCCTTAGGCCACAACAATTTAATTTGCTGGTTGTCAGATTTTTCTTCATATAAAAAATAAGGCGAGAAAAATAAAAACAGGCCTAGGCATCCTAGTATAGCCCCAAATGCTACCACAAAGTCAACATACAGGCTGATTAGAAATTTAAACAATGAATTTTCAAATTTTAACCAGACCACTGCATTGATAGATGCAACTAGAGTTTCTTCAACTGTTGGGGGCAAAATGTGAGCATTTTTGAGTTAATTCAGAACCAGAATCTTTTTTTTTTTTTTTTGCAAATCAGAAAAAAAATGAAGCGGGCAAATTTAAGAACCAATTGATTACATTGATGTGGCCTTGTAGGGACTAAGGACAAGAACAAGAACAAAGGAACTAGCAACTTCCACAAGTTATCTATAATGATTTCAAGTCATAAAAGGACTACTATCTTTGTACACAGTTATTGAGTTAAAATCAATTGAAATGGTTTCATCTGTCACTGCATCATAATCTCTCCCATGTATATCATAGGTAGTTAGCATTGATATAATCTGTCAAACTGTAGAAAAAAGTAACATTTTTGGATGTCTGCACATTAGAACCTCATAGCCAATGTACTCAAATGGATTGTCAATGAGTGATTTAATATGTTACTTTAACTTAATATACTATGTAGGTAGAGCTGGTACTAGTAAATGCAGGAAATACTTTTTTTATGTGTGAAACTAAAACAGGCAAAAGTGTCATCATGAATTAATATATAGCATATATATGAACACATCTATGCTATACTCACTTTCAACCCAGACTGATTACAAGTACATGTACAAATTATACTGCTTGTTGATACATGTGTATATAATATACAATACTAGTATATATATTATATAAGTATAAGAATTTGTAATGTTAGGCCACACAAGTTTAATTTCTTGGCTCTCTGCTTGCTCACTTTCTTTTCTGGTTGAAAAAAAAATTCATGTGAAATTCATCATAATTTGCATATTGCACCAGCCCAAAAAAGCTAATATTAGACCAACAGTTGTAGGAAGTTAAGTTTTCTACTTACTTATGCATTAAAAGATTGACTTTGATAGTTTGAAATGCTACCTTACCTGGTCAGTTGACTTTGTAGCTCAGGATGTCTGTTTGTTGTTTATTCCGATGTGCTTAAGCTTGCCCACTCCTTTATTTCCTGGAAAAATTCAAGAAACAAGAAATTGAATTTTCCAGGCTTAATATTAAATTCAACTTCAGAGCTCTTACGAGTCCAATACCAGTATAATTAAAAGAACAGGGAGCGTAGTTAAGTTTCCAAGTACAATTATTTGTACAAGCAATGTTCAATAACAACATTTCAGCTCAAATAACTTTTGTGGGATAGTCATGTCACAAATGGTCCACAGTACTGTTACATGTAGATGACTGACAACTTGTGTAACTATTGGTGATGATTCCTTTGTATCAAGCACTGATTTTGATTAAATTATCATCAATAATACAACATGTATCTTGTCTCAATACCTGTTGTACAGGCTTGTTAGTCTGCTGCTAAGTTTATCAGACACAGATCTACTTTGAAAATAAAATTCACTTCAAATAGAGAATGATAGAGCAATTATGGGAAATAATACGGAAATCAAGACTTCTTCTATTGACATCCAATCATCTAATGTATATAAATATTAGAGGTAGGTACACAGATGACAATATTCACCTACCAGGTATTGTAAAAATGAAATTGTAGAATTTTATGTGAATGGTCTACCACGTACATGTATGTTACACATTGCATGGTGTAATGAAGGACATAATGTCCTTGGTGTAACATTACATTATTAAGTGAAAACTCAGAAACTGAATATATTGCCGAACTAATCCCATTTATTTTTGACTGACTGCATTCTGAAAACATATGTCAATCTCTGACAATACTTGCATACAAATCATCCTTCTCCATATATGGTAGATAAACATGCCAAAAATCGACTCAATCTCATTCAGGATGATGCCTTCTTACCCATGTTCTTAAAACCAGCACACAGCTGCAACAATAAAAGTTGCTCTGATAGTTTTCAGACAACAGAAAAAATTATCCAATTACAATTACTAGTATTTCTGAAATTGAACTATCAGAGAAATTCAAGTTCTATGCACAATTGCAATTGCCCACCTCTGATTTGACCTACACTGATGCATCCCTGTGTCTGCAAGTGCTTAGGATGGTCTGACAGGAAATGTCTACCATTCAAAAGGCTTTGCAGGAAGAACATCAGGCTCTGAGGTCTGAATTCAGCAAAACTATGGTGCAGCAATGCAAAGTACTATACAGCCAAATCAAGTACTTTTGAGTACAATGATATTGAGTACTTTGGATATAATTAAAGTTTTGTAAACAATAAATTGCACAGAGCCTGTAAATTCGGCAGACCAAAAATAGTATGAATGTATTATGTGAAATGGAACATACTAGTACTCAAAAACAATGTTTATTTTTCAACTCTCCTTCACTTTACACAAACATATATAAGTTTCACTCTCTGTAAGCAGTCAAGAGTAATGTTTTTCACTTGGAAGGCCACAGAATAATATAATAAATCCTTGGAGTTTCAGTGGCCCCAAAACCAACACACAAGTTCTACAGACAGATTTGTCATAAACTCTTCAATGTGACCTGCACCAGTAGTTAGTCTGACTAAATCACGCTCCTGGTGGCCACCCGCCCCAAAGTTGGGGAGCGGGTCATTAACTCCAGGCCGAGAGCTCCAGTCTACACTTAGTAATATGCCGGCCTGTCCGTTAACCCTTTCACATCCTCCTGCAGCTGAGTTTCCCTGTCAAACAGTGACATGTTGACAGGTACAAACTTGGAGATGCCAAACTGTCCCAGCTTTTCTCTCATCTGAGGATCAGCATGTGCTTCTAGCAAGGCCTGGGTTACCTTCCGTTTCAGCTTAACTGTGGAAGAACAAAAAATGCTGATAATACAGTAAGTGCAACTAAAAAACGTTGAGAAAACTAATTGAATGTAAAACTCTGAGTGCCAGTACTCTTGACAAGAAATGTATCTGATGCTTTCTTCATTTTTTACACAGTTCCAAGTTAACATAGTTGTTATTATCCGTTGTATCCAGGGTATATACATTAACAGTACAAATGTACCTGTAAAATAAGCTGCATGTGACCTTTCACAGGAAACATTTGACACTGAGCACACACACAAAAAAGAAAGGTCTAGAGTCTAAACAACAAAAAACAGTTACTGGTACCTACCATCTAAGCCTGCTCTGAAGACCAGAGGCTGTATAGGGTATGGTCCCCAGGACTCGATGACATGGATGTTTTTCTCCAGATCCAGATTCTGAGCTTTCTGCATCATGAGTGAGAAGGAGTCTACAGCCGCTCCATCCACAGTGTGGTTCAACACCATCTGCAAGGACTTCAAATGGCTCCCTGGGATGTCAAAAACATGGGGTTAAACTGACAAAATAGAGAAAAATTCTAATTTCAAGTCCTTACAAGGCCAATGTCAGATGATACTGTCTTGCTTTCAATGATGATTTGAAGTGAAATACTTCTACTGAGCTGCATAAACAATTAGACTTGGAAGTTGGAACATAAGTTTGTCCTAAACTGTGACAGTCAACGTTCAAGATCTCAATAAGATTAAGATGCTCATTGGATAGCATTGCACTATGTAACTCCATGACAATGCTTTAATACCACCGGTATATCTGAAACTTTGGTACATCCTGACTGTTGCAATAGTCTACAACAGTTACTGGGAAACGAGAAATTGTTCTCCTACCTGACTGCACTGAGTGGCCGAAAAAGTTGGCGTTTTCTCCCATCTTCTTCAGCATACTCAGCGTAGACAGACAGCCGGACAGGGACGTGGGTTCATTGTACGCCCAGCGCGCTCCGCGAAGGTTCTTAAATTCTGGGTACTTTTGACTGCAATAAGAAATCGCTTTTAGGTATGAAACAAACTACACATGTACAGTACATACAGCTCAAAGGAATTTTTCATTTCTTCTCAATCAGCATTATATTAGTTTGGAAGTTGTAAATAGGAAATAGCTGTTACAAGTACAAATCTTTAGTTATCATGGATAAACTAGTCAGACACCTGGATGATCAAACTAGTATGTATGGAATTTTCTTATGCATCTTAAAGTGTAAAAGACTATAAGTCATTATGATATAACTGAATGTTACACTCACACATTGTCTTTGTGAACAATGACATCAGTGAAATAGACAGGTCTGTTCCCACTGTTCTTAGGGTGCACGGCAAGAGGACCAGCAGGGAGGAGCTCACACACATTAGGCTTGCTCTCCAGCAGCTTTAGGAAGGGTGAACTGCACATAAAGCCTGAAAAAGCCTAGACTGGTTAATTCAAGAAAACAAAGGATTTGTTTGAATAATGCACACAGGAATTAGAAGATTGCTACTTCTTCACAGTTATGCTGGTTGGGTGTGAGTCATTGATTGAAATCTTACATGCATCAAAATTTGACAGGTCTCTAATAAATAGGCAATTCAACAATATGTGGCTGAAAAAAATTCTACACAGAGTTGTCATGTGGACCTTGTTATTTCCATGTATTGTGTCAGTGTCAATGAGGCATCCTCACTAGAAAGCTTTAAACGAGAAGATATGCTTGGAGAAGATATGTGAAGGTTAGGTGTGACAGACTGGTCGATGTTCACATAGCCAGCTACCGCATGCCTCATGCAAAAGCTGGTGTGTTATTCCAAAGGGTAGTTGTAATGGTTACATGATACAGATTAACGCATCTGCACACATTGTGATTAAAAGTGTTATAAAGTCTAGGAAAATGTAACGGTCACCTATGTCCACTTCACTGAGGCTGAAGGGGTCAGGAGAGTCAGTGGGAGGTCCGGAGAAGCGTGACTCGTACAGAAGAGACACGTCACATCCCAGCCTGTCTCCCAGGTAGTAGATGATGGTCTCAAAGTACTCCACAGGGATGCTGGGACACAGGTACGTGATGAAACGCAGCTTGGGCGGATGGCTCGACATGGCTGACTGAACCATGAATAGTGATGACATGAGTTAGCATAATCATGCCTTCGCAATGTTCAATGTCAGTCCGAAATTTTATGCTGAATGCAGGCATATTATGATTTTAATACTTACTCATTGGTTAATGTCAATGATTCGATCATCTGCTTGTAAAATCTGACTGGTCAATTACGAAATACAAATCATGACATGTAGACATCATAATTACTTCCTCTATGAATAGTTGGATAGGCACCTGTCGCCATGACATTAACTTTTAAACGAATTCAAGGAGGCTTCCATCTGAAATTTATACTGCAGTCTCTATCATTGCCATGCCCGTATGAACATGTATACACCCTTAACATCCACAAGCGTAAATTTGGGAAATTGGACTGTGATTGATAGGAACTTGATGCCAGGCCGAAAGTGCTGGAACGTCACCTTTTTTTCCAGGTCATTACCAAATTATCTTTCAACACCCTATTACAGACCCTTTCACCCAATACGGGAATCTTATTTTGGCCAATAGCACTGTCCTCGCAATAGCTAACAATATGTTCCTACCTGACAGAGCAGAAATTGCGGAAAATAAAGGTTTACAGGAAGTCAATCTGATGAAACACCTTCACCGGCACCGGCTCCAGATTCGAGACGCTGACGAAATACTCACCTTTGACCCCTCAGCTGGTATTTGGGATATACCATTTTATTCTAAGGGGTGTGTAAAGTTGATGCTGAAGTACATGTACGTTGAGCCATAGTGTTGCAATAGAATTTATTAAAATGTGAAAAATTGGTACTCTAGAACAAAAATTCATGCATTCTAATAAGAGGGATGGGCATCTGGACTATATCTTTTTGTGTGTGTGTGTGTGTGTTTTTTTTGGGGGGGGGTGATCATGTAACGATAAGGTAATCAAGACCCAAAATGTCCTCAGCCATGGTTATTTACTACCTTGAAACTACTAGTATGTTTAAGGTTACCTATAACTCACTCGAAGGACTGCAATGAAATTTTCTGGGTCCCACTTCCTTGGTGTTCACATAAAAGTTGTTATACATGTACCATTATACCTCCCGAATCCTACATCCTCTCCGTAAAGGAACACACATCCATGTCCTGCATGTTGTCCTGTGTCTGATGAAAAATTGATAAACTTGCTTGACTTATTATGTGTAGTTCTGTGGATTTTTATATAATATGAGAAGACAGCACAAAAATATGAATTAATTTCTTTAATTCAGACAGTGTAATAATTTTCTACATCATGTATTCATTATGGGATATGTTGTAAGTATAGAGAAACCCCAAAACAACACCATGCATGATTGTACCAAGTTAAACATAATGTTTGCTTGTAAACATGAATTATAGCAATAGTACATGTAATTTCAATTCATTTATCATTACATAGCTGAATAACCATATTTTAGCAAATCAAGTATCATCAACCATATTTTGGCAAAGAATAGTACTATACTGAACATGATGTGCAAATGGCTGGTTATATTAAATACAGTGTAGTAAGCAATAAAGGATTTAAAGTGCCATATTTCAGTACACATGTCTAGTGTGGAACATTATACATAGACTCTAATTCCTTACACAGGGCAATTATCATGACTATGTTAAAGCTAAGACACTAGCAGCAGAATTCCTGATATTACTTACAGGTCATTTCAAGTTTGTTCCAATACTAAAGTCACTTTCCAAGGCCTTTAAATTTTTAATTTTACAAACTAGAATCTTTGATCTTTATAATAAAAAAGTTGTACAGTAAAAGACTCAAATTTCTGATGATAAATGTATTTCTAAGGATTATAGACGGGCAGAATACGTGCAATGACACGCCGGCATATGGGGCACTTCCTGGGCTGCAGCAAGTCTGCGCAGTCGGCGCAGCAGCAGATGTGTCCGCAGTCCAGGATGATCACCTCGCGCGCGTTGGTCTGACACACAACACAGGCGTGCTCCTCGTCTACATCCTCCGGCGGTTCGCCGTCCTGCCGTCTCCGCGCTGCTCTGACCTGCTCCGTCTGTGCAAAGAACTCCTGGTTCTCTCTGTACCTCCTGTACCACTTCGCTGCAAAGGCACACAGGGCGATCAGTGTCCCCACCCCAAACAGGATGGTGAAGGCCTTCAGCATGGTCACTTTGGTCTGGTACTGCTTGGCCAGTTCTGAAGGTGCCAGATTGGTGATGAAGTATGTGGCGTTGTTGCTAGGGTTCCTCAGCACAACCTGCCCTTCCTCAAGGGCCAGCTCACCGTAACCAAACAGCTGTGTGCCGACCTTCAGCATCTTCTCTGTCTCCTGGTAGCCTTTAACAGCCTCGCCACTCATCCAATCGACTACCCTCTTCCCCATGGTGGCATCCTCAGGTTCAAACTTGTCGTAGATGACGTCCAGAGACAACATGGCTGCCTGTGTGGGCTCCAGGACTCTCACTTTCCCCCCTTTGCAAGCCAGGGAGAAGGGGATACGATTGGTTACCCTCCTTATAGTCCTGGATGTGTCATACCTGAGTGGTACACAAAAATAAAAGATAAAAGTTTGCAAAAGGTTATGAAACTAAAAAGTTAACATTTGCAATGCAAACATATCATGTTTACCGGTACCTTCACATGGCCCAGCTATAACTACTGCTTTGTTTATTCTTATACAAACACACTCATATACATTTGTATATGGTGACAATGCAGCCCTACTTGAACTCAGTTCTGCATGGTATTTGCATCATTATGAAACCCAACACCAGTTACCATGGTGACAGACATCTGGTCCTGGTCATTGACCTTCTTTGTTTGGAGAAGAAGAGGAAGAAGAAGAAACAGAACAAAAACAATATGCTTTCCTTCTGCGAAGGTAAACAAAATGATTGTTGTTAACAGTTTTGGAGTGCACATCTTCACCTAGGGAACTATCTAGGAATTTTGTGTTTTTACCATATCCTGGAGACTTTGTTCCAGACCCTCCTGTGTTCTTCCATCAGTAGCTCCTGTATCACCCCCTCCACACCCAGCTGACTCTGCAGAGGTTTCCCCACAGGCACTATTACACCTTCTATCACTGCGTAGGGGATGGTCTGGTTAGGTGTGCCGGCCACCACGTCACGGATGTTTGCATCGATGAACATGGCATCCTGATGGAAAAGATAGGGCAAACTTTATCCTCAAGCAGTTGTTTGTTATGTTAAGATGCATATGAGCTACCCATCACAGTGCCACAGGATTATTGGTTCATAAAAGAGGAGATGGTGACTGGTGGTCTTCTTTAACTTCAACTCAGGTGAGCATATCATGCAAATATGATATTTTTAATTATCATGATCTTTATTCAATTTAGGAAAACCATAATCCAACTTAAAAGGGTCAGAGTCAGAATGTTATCGTGTCTAAATCACCAAGGGAAAATCTATGTGGAGTGTTTTTAAGTCACCTTTATGGTGTCCCTGGTTTTCTTGCCCCTTCTCCATAGATAGGCAAAAAGGGAAGTGCAGGCTGTGCCCACCCCTAACCACACAAGGTCGGGCTTGTCCACGGCACTCCACAGCGTGCTCAGGTGCTCCATCCTTCTTCAACGTCCGTACAAAACCTGGATAGCTTTCGCTGGTCCTAGAACGGCATTTTACGTCAATTTGACGCTCAGAAATCCACGTAACACAGTTTCACTTCCACATACTTTCACCTTTGTGTCAGCAACAAGTTGGGGCCTTTGGATGACCGAGGCCGCTGCCTTCAAAATATTTTTTTGCCTGAAATATATTGCAAACTGATGAAAATATCATTCAGGCAGTAACTAAAGCAAGACCATTTATCTATCAAATTTTGATAATCACTGGTTCTAAGGAAAGGCAATGGTGTACTCTCCGTTACCGCATTTGTTATAATAAAGTTAGGCCCTTGTATTTTTCATACAGTGAACCACAAATGTTTGTTCTCGCGAGATTTAGAATTCCCATGAGAGTTGGTTGGCGCGCTTTTCGACGATAGAGGATTACCTCATCCAAGATGGCGCGGAAGTACTTTCGTGTCGTCTGAATTTGCGACATTTCGTCATGTTTAGTCATTTTAGTCACATTTTAAAGGTTTATAGGAAGGATGGGAATATTTGACAATGGCTAACCCAGGAACACCGCGACCCGTGCCGCACTTTTTCGCCGAGGAGGGCCCGTTCTCCCAGAAGAAGTACCGGCTTGCGAACGGCCACACTCCTCGGGACTCCCAACCTCCGCGCCCGCCGGCCAAGAGCGTTCCCCCGGTCAGTCGAGTTTTTGTCAACAATAAGTTAGCTTTCCAAAGACCCCAGAGTGTGTCTTTTAGAGGTCCCGATAGCTTGATTTCAAGTCCCCACTACGACGCAGGCAGTAAGGAACTTTTCTTCGACCAGTGTTTTGAAATTGTTGACAAACTTGGGGAGGGGTCCTTCGGCGAAGTCTTCAAAGTGAAGAGCAAAGAAGACGGGAAGCTATACGCCGTCAAGCGGTCCAGAGAGAGATTTCGAGGTGAGTACGACCGCAAGAGGAAGATAGGAGAAGCCTACAGGCTGGAGAAACTCCGAAGGCATCCTAACTGTGTGCAGTTCTTCAAAGCCTGGGAGGAAAGGCAACACCTCTACATCCAGACAGAACTGTGTCAGTGTAGCCTAGAGCAGTACCTGGAAGGGCGACATGACATACCGGAAGAAACAGTCTGGAACTTCCTGGTGGATTTGCTATCAGGACTGAAACACCTGCACGACCATAGGCTCATTCATCTCGATATCAAACCGGACAACATCTTTGTGTCCAATGACGGTGTGTGTAAGATTGGGGACTTTGGACTTGTTGTTGAGATGGACAAGGAAGACGTTTCTGATGCACAGGAAGGCGACCCGAAGTACATCGCACCTGAGTTGCTGGAGGGACATTTTGGACCACATGCTGACGTCTTCAGGTTAGTCTTCATGAATTTTTATGATTTGGTGCAATGTCACATACATAAACACTTAATTGCCTGCCTCAATTCTTTCTATTACCTAAAAGTTGTTTTATATGATAAATCATATATGAGATACATTTTTGGTAATTTTGATTATGGGGACTGCAGCATGCAGAGAAAACAAAGGAAATTTCCATTCTTAAAATAGACTCTAGTTCCATGTGTATCATGGACAATAGTGACAAAGACACAACAAAACAACCATCCAGACAGCCATTGTATTCAGTAAGTGAAGCAGAATGTACAATGATCCATTGACAAATCAGGCCCACCCATTCAACAATTATCACCTCTGTGTAAGTCAGGGCAGCAATCACAGAACAATAACAGCCTCGTTAAATCATGTTTTAGAGAAAAATCACCACTTACTAGCCTATTATCTACCCATCAATGTGGTGCCATGGTGCTAAGGAAAGTTTTCAGCACCCAGACTTGGTACAATTAGGACACAATTGGATAACAAAGACAAAGGGCCAAATAATACATCCCTTACCTAATGAAGTACCCATGTCTTATGTTCATATATTTTCTTGTCACAACATTCAGGTTAGTATGACACTGACAGTAAATATTTCCAGACTATTCTAGTACAATTGATAAGGAAGTAATATTATCTTTCTTTCTTATCCTCAGCCTGGGGGTGACTATTCTGGAGGTGGCCTGTGACCTGGAGTTACCCCGTAACGGTGTGGGATGGCAGCAGCTCAGACAGGGCATGATCCCAGCAGCCTTCACTGCAGGGTTGTCCCACGAGCTCAGGAGCCTCATCCAGCTCATGATGCACCCAGACTATTTCCAGAGACCTTCAGTGAGTAGCTAGTCTAGCTATACACATTACTAGTTGTAGAACGATTAGAGTAACATACAATAAACAAATGTCAAATCAGAACAGTCTCAAAATTGTGTCACATTAGCCTAGGTGCCATCATCCGTAGTTACTGGCAGCTCCGTAGATACTGTTGCTGGCTACCGTACAGTAGGGAGTTGGCGGTAACTACAGAGGATGGCACCCAGGCTAGTGTCTCATATGCTTGGCATGTATCTGTGAGGACTTTAAAACAAGCTAAATCTCTCACCTTTTCTACCATACACCCCCACAAAGTTATCCTTCCACCAACAGCACTTGAGACATTTATTATGTGTCTATTAACAAACATTTCAAGTGTAAAATAAGCACCTGCTTTGTCTTTCAGGTTGCTGACATCCTGGCCAGGCCAGAGGTCAGTAAAGTGTTGTGGAGAAGGAGACGTCAGCAGGCCGTGCGGTTTGTGCAGGGTGCTGTGTTATCTGTGTACGGCTTCATGTCCAGCCTGTTCCACACCATGTACTGCACCATCCTGCTCCCTGTCAAGGCAATCAAGGGGCAGCCACAGGAGAAGCAACGTAAGTATGGCTTACAGTAGCTCTTCTGTTAGACAAAAAGTTGGAAGTCCATAGTACTCATAGAAAAGTATGTTGACTCAAACACAACATTCATTTTTCTGTTAATCCCTGTATCAAAATATCATATTTTTTTTATGAACAGACCTTTCTTTTTACTTTCCAAAGGACAGCACTCGGTGAAAAAGAATGTTTCAAAATCAGGACAGTGAAGAAATGCTCTACAAGACTACAACTAAGTTTCCAACAAAACAAATAGTATTTGGCTAGCTGCTTGGTAACAAGTTTGAGTTGTACATGTAGGTAAGGAGTACAGAAGTTTCCTTGACTAGCACATGCTTTACTTTGAAATGTTCTGTTCTTGCATCAGCACAAAGGTGTCGTCATCCCTCTGACTGGGACTACAGCTACTCTGAAGATGATGCCTTTGAGAGTGAAGGTCACAGCAAGGACTCTGCTGAATCTGGTGTGGCCAACCTCAGCCTGTCCACAGATGAGGAGCTTGAACGACCCAGACAATTCATCACCTGTCCCAGGTACATTACCAACATGATTATCCTCCATGATACATTGATGAAGGTTAGACATCTTGGTAGTGAGATACATCAGGAAAACAGATAGCAACTGCGGGTATATTTTCAAAATGCTTGAGAATGTACAATGTATTTACGAGTACGATATAATGTTTCCATTTCTAGTGAAGTGAGGTTCACCCCTGATGCTCGCCCTGCCACGCCCATCCTGCGTCACTCCAGCCCGATGCCGAGGAGCTCCTCCCCTCTCCATGGCAACCACACCCAGGCCCATTTGAGCCCCAACCTGAGCCTGGTGACCAGCCACCCCTACACACCCACCAGCCACTCCGACAGTGGCAGCAGCTACGGCGAGGATGGCTCCGTCATGATCCGCTCAGGGATCGGGCCCAAGAACCTGATGA